ATAAAAATGTTTACAACTGCCCAAGTGCAGAAAGGTCTTATTAAAATTACTCTCCCATTACTTTAAAACAGCAAATGTTAAAACAAAAGGGCAGAAAAAGGATTCATTTGTTTACTCAGTAAATATTTCTTAAACTGCTACTATGAGTCAGGCATTGTTCCCTGTACAGTTGGGAGATAACTCTTTCACTGCTGCCTCTTAAAAGTGCACACCACAATCAACGGCGCCCTAGTCACATTGTTGATTGTGTGCCTGGCATTCTCCTAAAAGCACAGGTTAAAAAATAATTACGTACAGTCAACACAGGTGGCTTCTGCCTATGTTGACCAACATGTATTATTCAGGTCTCTCCATTCACTTTCTTGCTTTTGGTATGTTTGGATGCCACCATTTCTAATTAGCACCAAAGTAAAGAAATAAAGATGGCAGAGAGGGCACAAAAGTAGATTGTGTCACTGAGCCATTTGGTAGCTGCAAATAGTAGACTAACTCTGATGAAAGCTAAAATTTCCAATGGATTTATTCACACTTCCCATTAGTGATCAAGCTAACCAAAAGTTGAACTGACACTTAAATAACTTGTCATTTATTTCTAAATAAGTAGGCATGTAAGAAACTCTGGCTTTGCCATTTCTACAAGGACCAGTCACAATTTCAATATGTCAGTGCAACCTGTTTACCCTTTAAAACAAAGTCTTGAGTAAATTCATTTGGTTCCTCTCACAAAGAACTTTAAATCTCTCTCTTGACTGTGATGTTTCTGGCTAGACTTAAGACCGTTATGTCTTCACTGAAGTAAGTAGATCCCTTCATTGTGTATCATGTGACTTAGACTTAGATCGGTGTTTTGCACATAATAGCTGTTCAATAAAAACTTTAAAAAATTGATTAAAAGGCAATGTTATAAAGAGTTGAAACAATTTTATTATTTAAAACAGTCATTTATCCTGACACAAAATAGGGAGCTCCAATTTAAATACAAACTAATCCAATGAAGTTATTACAAATTATGGGTTTTGAGTCCACTTTTTTTTTTTAATTGGGGAATTGGGGGAGGGGAACAGTGTTGGGGAATCGGGGAAGGGTAACAGACAAGTTGCTGTCCTTTTTTTTTGTTCTTCAGGCTAGTTGTGGAGGACGTCGCTTCACTGGCCCATGTTGGTTGATCATTGCACTCTTCCCGGGTGAGGCAGTCACTCACCGGCCATTGGACAGCACCTCACGGTGGCTCAGCCAGCTGCCCGCTCCTCCTGCCAGCTGCCAGCCACTCACAGTGGCCCAGCTACAGGTCGAGCTGTTGTTCACCATCTTAGCTGTAGAGGGCGTCGCTTCACTGGCCCCTAATGTGGGATCGGAACCGGGGCCCTGCTGCTCAGAGCTCGAGCTCCCAAAGCCAACTCTTAACCAACATGCTACTACTCAGCTGGCCCTTGAATCCACTTTAATAGTCCTATGATAACTTCCTGACTTTGCATGATTTCTAAAAATTTCCTAGAACATGAAAATGTACTCCTATGCAGGTGTTTAAAAAAAAAACAACAACAAAAAGATGAGGAGGAAGGTTTTACTATCTCTACAAAGCAGTATGTGGCTTGAGAGTAAGCCTTTAATGTACAGTGCACGTTAGAAACTCATAGTGTTTAAAAGCCTACATGGACTTTGACTGAAGTCCTAAAATGTGTGTCCATCTGATGGTATTTGTGAAGGTATAGGAAAGCTGCAACCACCTGTTACCAGTAACTCACGGCCACCAAACCATAGCTCCATCTCTCCCCATCTAGAAGCGTAATTCTGCCAAGTCAGGCAGGAGCACCCCATCATTATCTCATTACACATGTGCATGATCCCAAAGCCACCATTCAAGGAAAACCCTCAATCACTGCCCTGTGCTGGGCTACCCCACACTGCCCAATGCACCACACATCACTGAGGTCTCACCACTGGAGAACTGGAGTTTATTTTTCAGAACTGTTCATTATTCCAATTTTTTTTTTAAATCTCAAATACTAATAAAATAGGGCAACTGAAAGTAGACATTTTGCTGCCCTCATACTTCTTGGTATTTCACCTTAAAACTCAGACTTTGCACTTCTTTTATTAAATAAATAATGTGTTCATTCCTTTCCCTCCATTAAACCACAAGCCACTAACGGGCAAAGGGTGATACTCAGTGGAATGCTTTGTTTTAAATGAAACTCTTCACTGACATACACTTGTATAATATATATCCAACTGCTAACTGACTCGTTCTTCCTCATAAACTTACCAAGCGAAAAAAAATTTCAAGTAGTTTATATACCTTCTCCCTTAAAAATCTTTTCCAGTTATTTTTATTGTAGAAAATTTCAAGCATACAGTAGAAAGCAGCATCCTGAGCCCACTGCTCAGCTTCAACAATGTGACCGCTTGTTCCATCAACGTTCCCACCCACGGCCATCCCAAATTCTTTTGAAGCAAATCCAAAACTTTTCATCTTTCATATATATATATATATATATATATATATATATTCCAGTTCCCATTTATTTGCAACAACTCCCGTCTTTGCCTTCCCTCCCACCTCTCCACCCTCAAAAAGTAGTGCACAGAATAAGCAGGCAACTGGACCTAGGTTATCCTTTCCCTTCTCACAGCTGCCTCCCCTCTTCCAGACCACCTTCTATAACATTCACGGATATCACTGTGAAATGCCCACCAGTGTGTTCAGTGTCTCTAACCACGGCCTATTTCACTTAGAAATATATTGTAGTTCCCCCCCTAATCCTCCTCTCTTGTTTGAACAAGTGAAAAAAAAAATTGTGCCAAAATTTCTACTCCCTTGATAAAAATTACCTCTGATTTGTTTCCCCACCTCAGATAAGGTGAAAAGAGCCAGAGGGAGTGGAACAGGAATACAAGAGGCAAGAAATATTGTACAACATTTAATATGGTAGATTCTGCCTAATAAGGTGTGTGCAAATATTTAAAAACCATCTGTTATTTTATTTTTAAAATGAATACGTGTAAACATCAGCCAAAATCTTGGGTTTCTTTAGACAGAGGATGTTTATAAAATGAATTTATTTAAGACTGCTATTGCCTTCAGGATTTTGGTACTAATCACAGTAGCTGCTTCTGAGCCTAAGAAATGGTTATGTAAAAACAATTAAAGCCCAAAGATAATAATAATTAAGGGAGAATGCGCTGTTTCTATAGCTGTTCTAACCTTGTTTTACTTTGCCCCGAGATTTCTCGGCCTCAGCTCAGACAGCAACCACCACCCCACGCTTTCTCCTCCACACCCTTTACAAATGGAATTCCGAAAGGAGGCACTTTCGAGTTCATCATGGGAAATGTCTCATCCTGAGGACATTTCAGGGCAATAATTGAGATTTCATCCCCTCCTCCCTCTGGACCCTGCACTGCCCATCCCTTGCCCAGTGACTTCTCCCAGGAATCCAGGGGAAGGCAGGGAGACCAGCCCCATTCCACAGCCCACAGCCCCTCCTCGGGGGTGGCCTGTGCCCTGCCTCGGCACCCCCTGTTCGCCCTGGTCCGGCGACAGAGAGCTTCCAGACACCGCTCCACTGGTTTTACCCATCGCGCCCCCAAGTTAAGGGTCCCGGTGGAGCGCCCCCTCGCCGCCAACCTTCCCCATTTTCAACTGTTTCCTCTGAGCAATTAAAGAATTACTACCCTGCCAATGCCTCTTCCTGAAGGTGATAGAGAACCCAAGGTCTCCCCCTAACTCCGACCACTGTCCCTCCAGGCCAAACACCGCAGTCCCCGCACCAAATTCAGGATCTGAGCTTCCCCTCGAGAACTACAAGTGCGCCCCAAACCGCCACAGGTCAAAAGTCCTCGCCTCTAGAGGGAAGACGCTACTTCTCGCCCCTGCGCCCCCAAACCCAAGACCTGGGACCCAGTCCCGCCGAGACCGCCCCGCCCCGCCCCCGGGAGCAGCGCCCGATCGGCCCGCACCTCCCAGCAGAGAAAGCAGCGCTAGGAACTCGGGAACAGGCGCCCTAATAAATAACGCAGCCTCCAAAATCTGAGGGCCTTCACGCCCCCATCGAAGCCGGTTCGCGGCGCATCGGCTACTCCCCCGAGGGATTAAGGCTCTCCCCAGCACACACCGCTGACCCCTGGCCGCCGGGGGGACCCAAGCCCGCGCCCCCTGCTCAGGCCGCCGGGGGCACCCACACCAGCTCCCCTCGCCTCCGAAGAGCGAATCTGGCTCGCACATCCTGCCCGGGCCAAGGCCCACGAGGAGCACCCGGACCCGCGCCTCGGTCAGGCCGCGGGGACCCCGACCCGCGCGCCGTTGCCTCCACCGAGGCAGCCCGGCCCGCGCCCCCTGCCCAGGCGCGCCAGACACCTTCCCCCGCAGCCCGGCGGGCCCAGCCCCTCACTCACCCAGAGCTCGGTGCCCCAGCTCATGGTGCAGGGGGCGGGAAGGGGCGCGCCGCGCGACAGGCACGGCTCTCCGGTCCCCCTCCGTGGCGATCCCTTCGCCCCTCGAGATCCCCGCGGCCGAGGAAAGCCCGGGCCCGCACGGCCGCCGCCTCCTCCGGCTCGCCGCTCCTCGCCTTGGGTCTCCTCCGCGGCTCCTCCTCTGGGTCGCTCCTCAGCAAAATGGCCCGAGGAAGCAGCACCCGCGGCAGCCGCAGCGCCCGCCCGCCCCACACCGGGAGAGCGAGGGGGGAGGGGAGGGCGGG